GGGGGGGGGGGGGGGCGATTTGCGATTCGGAGCTTTGAGTTGGGCACCAAGACTATCAAGCCAAGACTATCAAGCCAAGACTATCAAGCCAAGACGATCAAGCATGGAGATTACGAAGTCGTGTGCGTAGGACTGGGCACCCTTTAAGGCCGCAAGAGCGTCAAGCCTTGGGTTTTCCCTGCGATTTGGCTAACTCTACGCTAACTTTTCGTAACGGATATGAAGAGGTAAATGGCCTGTTTGAGAGGAAAAGGATGCCGGCCAGGGGCCGCAACAAGAGTTGACAGATACTTCGAAGCATTTGGACATCGGTGCCGGCACCACCACCTCAGCACCTCAGGCACGCTCGTTCAGGTTATTGTTGAGAGTGGCAGCGTGCACGATGTGTGTGCAGTGTCGTGACTGCTAGTCCTGTGTCTGTCAAGAAGAAGCCGCCCCTCGCGCCTACCGAGCGGCCTTCCCTTCCCTTCCCTTCCCTTCCCTTCCCTTCCCTTCCCTTCCCTCCCTCCCTCTGCACACGGCAGCAGCCTAGCCACGACGAAGACACCCGCCAGGCCCTCAAGAACAAGAACAAAAGCCAGCCCCCGTCTGCTTTGGTCGAGCAGCCCCCCTCCGGCGGCAAGGGCAAGAAGGCGAAGGTGCGCCTCGTCCAACGGCGATAAGCTTAAGTTTCATGTAGGGTGTTGGCCCTTGCTTGTTCTTGGCGGCCTGTTCGCGCCGCTCCCTCTCCACTTGTTATTATAGGAGGTTTTGGTTTCTGTGATTTCTGTGTCAGTAGGGCATCAGCTGCTTCGAAGTTGAGGACACGAAGGGAGTGGGTCGTGAGATTGTTTGGTAGCAGGGAGACAGCACGTCGAAACCGAAAGAATGGGCGACCTTCCACCGTAGCCGTTGCTGGTTGCAAGGTATGTGGCGACAAGCCGCTGGCTGACTCTTGATCTGGTTTCGCTCTACCCCCCTGTTTTCTCGATAAGGGGAAGAAGGAGAAGCAGCAGAAGCAGAAACAGCAAGTTGTTGCCACGCCGAAGCTCTCATCCAAGGGCATCATCGGCAGTAGACTCATCGCCGCTGAGGCTGCCGGCGGGGGCAGCGGGTCCACGGTCAACGGCAACGGCAGCCCGCCCGCTACGCAAAGCGATGGCAGCAGCACCACCATGAAGCACACCTATGCGAGCGCTGAGATCACGGAGACGATCAGTCAGTTCGCTGGCATCGGTTTCGCAGCAACGCCACCGTCTTCCTTGGCGACACCGGTGCAGCAGCAGCAGCAGCAGCAGCAGCAGCAGCAGCATCGCCCCCCGCCCGGCCCGATAGCCCCGCCGCAGGGGCGCACGGCCTCTCCGTCCCTCCTCCAACACCCGAGGAGCCCGCAAGCGATCGTACACAACGACCAACGACAGTATGTGCATCACCATCACCCCGCGGGCTTCGTTCACCCACAGCACCGCCTGCAGCAGCAGCAGCAGCAGCAGCAGCAGCAGCATGCACCGACGTGTGCCCCCATCACGTCGTTAGCAGCACTGGAACATGCCGCAAGGGGCCCGGCGATGACCGTCGGCGTCACGAGCGCTGTAGCGCCCGCAGACACTGTCATGGTGAACGCAGGAGTGCCGCCGGGGGCGGGGGCGGGGGCGGCGGCGGCGGGCGGGAGCGGGGGTGCAGCAGCAGCAGCAGTAGCAGCGGCGAAGTTTTGCACGTTTTGTGGGGAGCGTCTAGTCCCGGCTACAGCCAACTTCTGCGCGTACTGTGGGCAGCGGGTGAGAGTGAAGAATGAACGCGCCGCGCCAACGGCACCGATGATGCATGCATGCATTGGTCTGTCTATGGGGTCTGTCTGTGGTAGTTTTTTTGCGATGCGAGGAACGGGTGGGCGCTGTGCTTGTTGACATCATGGTTTTGGCGTTGTTTGTTCCCCCCGGCTGTACTTACAGAAAGTGATCAAGATTATTATTTTCGATGTAGTTTTCTCTGTACTAGACGGTCATCTCTCCGTGGGGTGTGCCACTGGAAGAACCCCAGCGTCGCGGAGTTGTGGGGAATGCATATGCTAGGTTACTGCAACAGGCTGTGCGCTGAGGGATGGCCGCCGTGTCTTCCCTGAGCCCTTTGCCCTTCGGCATCATCTTTGAGTGTGCTCATACGTCGTTCATACGTCATGCACATATCATGCACAGACCCGAAGCGATTTCCTGTCTTCGTTTCACAGTAGTTGCGCCATGCCGTACCCTACAGGTCTCCTCAAGCTGTGAAACTCACTTTCCTCGCCCCCGCTCGCGCTGCTATTGGCCAGGTCATCCGCAGCGCTCAAGCTGCTGTCGGCGAGAGCGTCGCATCCCCCCCGCTTCCGCCCGCCCCGGCCCGTGTCCTTCCCCCCCCTCCACACCAGGAGCAACAACATCTCCTATCCCACGCCTCCGTACGGCCGCCCCCGGGCCCCGTAGGCGGTGGTCGAGAGCAACGGGCAGAGCCCCCCCGCGGCCCGCCCATGAGCGCCAGCGGCCGCTCCCCGTCGTCTTCCTACCTGGGGGGTCCCGACCTCTTGCCGGCCGGCGGTGGCGACGGCGGTAGCGGCGGCGGTTCGTCCTCGTCTTTGCCGTTCTTTCAGCAGTTCCGAGAGGCCAACGGGGACACCGGGGGCGGTGGTAACGGTTTGGGGGTCGGCGGGAGGAGTCGGTCAGCGGGGGTTATCGCTGCGCCTGGGACAGGACGACCGGGCCTGGACGCCGGCGGCGGTGGTGGTGGCGACGGCCATCACCAGCAGAGGAAGGGGAAAGGCGAGGCTACGGCGGGGGGTGAGGGCGACGAGGCGGGCGAGGGGGCTTCGGCGCTAGAGCTAGAGGGAATCTTGGGGGGGGGAATGGGGTCGCTCGGGCGCGGCGGAGGAGGTGTGAGCAACGGGACGGCCAACGGCGACGCGATGTGAGAGAGCGAGAGAGACCTTGCCTGGTCTGTCTGGTTTGTGGGGTACGGTCGGCTTCATGATCGTTCTCTTGTTGGATAGAAAGCGCCGGCAGCAATGGCGTATTTGTGTGCGGACGCATGCATAGAAGAACTGATGATATTCTAGTTGACCAGCAGAGGGTGGCGTACAGCGGCGGGAGAGCTTGGGAAAGCGGGCAGGGGAATTCCCGGGACAGCATTGAATACCCCCCCCCCCCCCCCCCGGGGTTTGCCATCGGGGTTGGGTTTTCCTCCCTTGGCAACCACCTTTTAAAACAAGCCCCCCCCCCCGGGGTTTGCCCTCCGGGTTTGGGTTTTCGTCCCTTGGCAACCACCTTGTAAAACAAGCCCCCCCCTCCGTGTTTGCCATCCGGATTGGGTTTTCCTCCCTTGGCAACCACCTTTTAAAACAAGCCCATTCCCTTCGTGAACTCCACAACCAGGTTACCGGTTTTTTTTTTTTTACCCCGGTTTTTTTTTTGGCGGGAACCATAATGGGGGTCCAGTAAATCATGTTGTGCGGGGTCCAAAAACCTCCCTCCCCCCAACGGGGGATGATCGCACCACGTTGTGTTAAAATGGTCAAGCTTCCTCGAGGCAGTTACACAGTGCTTACAACTGTTTCTGAAAGTGAAAGCACCAAAAAATAAATTAAGTCATACGTAGCTGTCATCCGTACGCAAGGAAGTAAGCACAAGATGCCGAACACCCTTAGCAGGATGCAGCTCACCCTTCATGCGAGTCGCCAAATACCTCACGGCGCTTCGCGCTTGGTGATGTGAGAGCCTGGTCCGGTGAGAACCCGGCGTGCTCCGTCCCGGCTTTGTAGGGATGCGAGGTCAATGGTCAAACGACTACGGCATGCACGACTATGAGTACACCCTCCCCCCCCCCAGTGTTTGTGATCGGGGTTTGGGTTTTCGTCGCTTGGCAACGACGTTGTAAAACAAGCCCCCCACTCGGTGTTTGCCATCGGGATTGGGTTTTCGTCGCTTGGCAACGACGTTGTAAAACAAGCCAACTCACTTCGTGAACTTGGCAACCAGGTTACCGGTTTTTTTTTTACCTCGGTTTTTTTTTTTGGGGGTAACCACAATGGTGGTCGAGTAGATCATGTTGTGCGGGGTCGAGAAACCTCACTCCCCGCAACGGGGGATGATCGCACC